TAACAGAGAGGAGAACTGAGAGAACAGGAAGGTGGGAAGAGACACTGCTAGCCTCCACCATGACAAGCAGCATGTGAAGATGCCGGTAAGCCACGAGCCACATGGCAAGGTATAGATTTATAGAAATGGATTAATTCAAGATATAAGAGCAGTTAGCAAGAAGCCTGCCACAGCCATACAGTTTGTAAGCAATATAAGTCTCTGTGTTTACTTGGTTGGGTCTGAGCAGCTGTGGGACTGGCGGGTGTCAGAGATTTGTCCTGACAGTGGGCCAGGCAGGAAAACTCTAGCTACATCATACAATCACAAATAATCTTCCAACAAAGGCTAATGTAAGAAATTGGGGATTAGGGCTGGGGAGATGGCTCAGTGGCTAAGAGCTATTGTTCTTGCAAAGGTCCCAGGACTGGTTCCCATGTGATGGCTCCACAATGTTTTTTAACTCTAGTTCCAGGGGATCCAACATTCTTTTCTGTTCTCTGTGGTCTCCTGCATAAACGTAGAGCACACAAACTCACATAGTTGCACACATACACATAAAAACAATAAATCTTCTTAAAAAATGGACATTTAAGACAGTAAAATGAACTCAATAGCAGTATAGAAGAAGCAAGAGTCAATAACTTTGAGGACAGATCAGGAAAATTTACTTACTCAGAACACATACTCAGAACGTTTAAGAATGAAACAACAGCCGGGCGGTGGTGGCGCACGCCTTTAATCCCAGCACTCGGGAGGCAGAGGCAGGCGGATCTTTGTGAGTTCGAGGCCAGCCTGGTCTAGAGAGCGAGATCCAGGAAAGGCGCAAAGCTGCACAGAGAAACCCTGTCTCAAAAAACCTAAAAAAAAAAAAAAAAAAGAATGAAAACAACAGAACAGGGCAGAGCTCAGAGACTTGTGGGACCAGAAATGTCTGCCGTTCCTACGATCATATTCATCAAGAGATAAAGAGGAGAAAGCATTCAGTGTGAAAAAAAATCTTTGAAGCATGGCCGTATGCCTCTCACATTTGGTGACAAAAACCTATAGATTCAAAAAGCTGATTACATCCCAAGGAATGAAACCCAAAATATCCACACTGTATGGAGGACTTTGAATGAAAATCTCACAGGCATCATCGCAAGTACCGAGAAGGTTACACTATCTCATATGTAAGAAAGCAAAGGAGCTAGAAAACAAATGACTTTGAAGAGAACTTGAAGGAAGCACACTACCTCTTATGATTTGACACAAAACTAAAGAAATCCAGAGGGTGTGACATTTCCCACATCCCCTTCCCAACTTGTCTTTTTCTTTTCTTTCTTTTTTTTAAAACAACCCCAACAGAGTCCCATTTGTGCTGCTCATATACACATGAGTATGTCACTCCTACTGGAGCATGGGCAACCTACCAGGAACTACATGCCTAGTAGCCCATAACTATCAATAGCTCTTAAGCTAGGGTTGGGGCTCACGTGCCCTCCCCCATCCATGTTGGAAGGTTGACTGGCTTGATCTTGTGCAAACAGCCACAGCTACCACCAATTCATGGGTGCAATGGTCATGTCCATGAGACTGACCCTTTCTGATCTCTGGCTCTTAGAATATTTTTGTTCCCTCTTTCTCTATGTTCCCTGAGCAGTGGCACGGAGGAGATAGAATACAGATGTCCCATTTACAGCTGAGCGCTCCACACATACTTGTCTCTGCACTTTGACCAGTAGTACACAAGGACTTTTTGTTGATGAGAATGGAGAGTTATACTTGTCTATAGGTGTAGAAATACCTAATTAGATGGCAATTTGATAGTGTGTCCATTTAGCAAAATAATAGCAGTAGCTTCCCTCATAGAGTATATGTGCTTCCCAGCCCTAGGTTCTTAGATTTACAGTACAAGATAAGATTTTCTTCCTGTGGAGCAGGCCTTAAACCCAATCAGAAAGTCATTGTTTATCTGTCTAACATTCATGCCACCATTGTACCTAGAAACCTATCTTGCTAGGCCAGTCAACAGGCACTTTCTTATACAAGTAAATGTACTCCTACCATATGAACCAGAAATCCTATTCACAGGTGTCTATGCTAGAACCACACAAAAGCCTGTATGTGAATGCTTTAACAATTCTCGTTATTACTAAAAAGTACAATGTAGAACTCGAAGATCTCTTAGATGGTCAGTAGTTAAATGAATTGTAGTCTCTCCATAAAAGTGAACCCTACACTCTTGGTACCTGGAATGGAATTCAGCCTCTCTCTCTCTCCTCTCTCCTCTCTCTTCTCTCTTCTCTCTTCTCTCTCTCTCTCTCTCTCTCTCTCTCTCTCTCTCTCTCTCTCTCTCTCTCTCTCTCTCTAAGGCAAAACTATTGAAAAAGAACAGATCGCTGACTTCATAGAATTATTGATGAGGTAGAAGGGTAAAGGACAGAGGAAAGGAATTCTTCTAGATGATGAAACTGTTATGTATTAAGGTGTTTCACTATATCATAATTTTGATTCATTTAATACTAGTTAGGGTGGAACAACATGGTAAAATGGTTGCCTAGTATGTACAAGGCCGTGGATCAAGCATCCCCTGCCCCCAGCACTGCAGAATCAAAAGTTGAGACCAAAAACCAAGACATCCAAACCCTTTAAATAGCTAAAAGCTACTAAATAAACACCACATGTATACACCCTTCTATTATCTCTATCTCAACCTTGGGATTTCAGGACAGGAGACCCCAACACTAATCATCTCTTTGAATTGGTAAAAGGAGTTTTCATTTTACAATTTCATTTAAACAGGTTAAATCACATACAGGTTTGCCAGATTGAGCAACAATAAATAAACAAACCAAAATTTTAATTTCAGATTACATTTGTTGAGCCCCTATGCTTCTTGTTAGGTTTCTTATCAGTTTTAACTGACAGGTATGGGTTTCCTACTCATTTTGCTTATAGTTCACTGAGCATATTGGATCAATGTATTGATTACCTTTTACTAAATTTGAGGAAATTTGGAATGTCATTTCCATTTTTTTTTTTTAAAACTGCCCTAATTTTGTTCTTTTTTGAGAATTTACTGACATGCTTTTTAACACTGCTTTATACTGGAACTGGTGAGACGGCCCAGCAGGTAAAAATGCTTGCTGCCACCCTAACAACCTGAGTTCATTTGCTACAGGCCACCTCTACACACTGTCCTCTCACCTCCAAACAAGCACTGGCACACTCGTGTGTGTGTGTGCACATGCACGCACACACACACACACCAGTCTCTCTTCTTCACACGAAGTGTAGAGATTTTAAAAACTACTTGACATTGCCCCCATGACATCATGACTGATTACTTTTCCCCCGTAGTCTTCTTCCTTAGGTTGGACAATTTCTCTTCCTTTCTCTGGACTTGGCCCAATTTGGTTTTGTTTTTTTGTTGTTTCCATCTCTTGGATGACAGTACTCACTATATTCATCCATTACAAGCACCTTTGTTTTTCATCCATGCACAGTTCTAAAGTGCCAGTCCTTTATATCTACTAATTGAGATGTCTAGGTTCTATTAACATCTCATCCCCGCATTCTTTTCTATTCATAAAGCCATGCCTCATATTGTGTTCTACAGCCATTGTTGATACTACAGTCATTTCTTCACCATATTCTGAACCGTATTAAACTTTGTTCTAATAGGATTCAACTACTTGCTTGTCATTTTTATCCTATGTAGGCCTAACTTCACATTATATGAAACTTTGTCCTAAGTTTAATCCCAAGCCTAGTCCTTACTAGTACATGGCCATTCTGGGCTTCTAATAAGAAAGCCCACATATTTATCATGCCCTTCTAACTTCCCAGGACTCAATCTTGAAGCTGTCTCCTCTCTCAACAGAGAGCAATGTCTGTTTCTTTGGTTCCCTGGCCTGGCTTTTCACCTGGATCCTTGGATCTTCGTACACATACACACAATAAGGAGTGAGCTGAGCATTTAGGACACACTAATCATAAGACTTACTACTTTAGTTTCTAGCTCCCTCTGAAGCCACAGTTCCATCCACTAATCATCTCATGCCAGTACACCAACTTAACACCAATTTGGTTGAACTGAAGTCTGGGAATGTCCCGACAGGAAAAGCCACAGAGGCAGAATTCTCGGCCTGCTCTATGACACCCAGTGTCTTTTAACAATCATGCACTGTAACAGTCACAACTGGAGGGTGTGAGCTAGTCAACTACCAAACCCAGAAGTCCTTTATTTTTATAATTTTAAATGTTTCGTTTAACATCTCCAAAGAAAACAATATAAAACTGACTGAAGGTACTTGGTTCTTTCCTCTTGTGTACACAAGAGACGGAAAATGGAATGTTTCATATACATTGAAATATTTCATCCCAAATGAAACATCAAAATAGTTCTAGCTAACACATAATACCAGAAGGTAGGAAAATTTTCAACTAATATTTATGAATATACTAAGCAAAAAGGTCAAGTTATTAGGCTATAGAAATACTTATGACTTGAAATAACACAGTAGTTATTCCAGACCAACAAAAGTTATAAAATAAATGAGCCTCTTATAATTAGTTAGTATGTGTGTGATGACTAACATCAACACTGGGTATCCTCTTCTATCTTGCTCTACTATTTATTTATCTATTTGTATGTTTATTTATTTAGAGATATTATACAGCACAAGGTGGCCTGGAACTTGCTATGAATATCAGGTTAGCCTTGAACTCCGAAATCTGCCTGCCTCCCAAGTGCTGGGATATAAGAAGTACACTCCATACTCAGCTATCAACTTATTTTTTGGAAACAGTGTCTCTCATTGAGTAAGGCACGCGCAGATTAGCCAGAAAGCTCCAGGGATCTGGCTGTCTCTGTTCTCCACCCAGTGCTAGGGTTCAGCCTGCACTCCACACTGGATTTTTCCCATGAGTGCTGGGGATTCCAGCTCTTAATGTTTGCACAGGAGCACTTTACCAAGTAAGGCATGTTCTCAGTTCTCAACAGCCACCTTTCTATAAGGAGATCATAAGACAGTCAGTGAATAGTTAGCAAGCTTTTATTTGCTGTACTTACTACTCCCTGCTTCTTTATCCCTTAACAATCGGGTTCAGGTGATTCACATTCCAGTTTCCTCAGTTACTCTTGTACCAGCCTCCTTGCATTGACGGGTTCCGTCTATGAAAATCTTTTCACTGTGTGGATGTCCAGCCACACTTGCCCGGCTTCATCTGCTCCATGTGTGTCCACCCTGGAGAGTAGCCCGCCGATGCCGCAACAGTAATGCTGATGAAAGGCGGAAGAACTGCTGCGGGAAAGCCAATGCTGCTGGGTCCAAGTGCCTCCTCTTGTCCCTTCTGTTACACTTTCTAGATAAAGGACAGACCCATGCCATTTGCCATATAAATACCGCACACCCAATCGAACTGAAACTAACGTGAGACAACAGAAAATGTCCATGTTCAGAGTCCATTAATACTTTGGGATTCCGATATAGAGAAAAGACTTAGCATTTCCATCTCCAGTGGGTGCAGGGTGCCCCCTGTGATGACCAAAGAATGCAATGGTTCTCCCAAGTCCACTGTACACATCTGCTGTAAAGTGCCCGCTGCAATTTTCTGGTCTTCAGCGCCAACTCTGGCCAAGCCAACACAGAGTGTCTCCTCAGTGACTGCTGTTTAAAACAAGGGGCAGGGGAGGGAGAGACAGAGAGATACTGCAGGTCAATTGGGCAAATGCTTCTCCCTGTTCAACATTCAGAACTATCGGTACTACAAGTACACTGAAAACTGCCCTGAACATCTGAAACCCCCCTAGTCACTCACTACAGACCAGTGACTTTACCTTTTGAGAATTCCAAAGGTTTACACGCTTATGTTTTAACAACTCGAAAAACAGTTAGCTGTATTTATATTACACATAATGACAGAACATTTGTCTTAAAACAGGTTCTAAGTGAACATCTTTATGATTCACACATAGTATATTTATTTTTATTTATTATTTATGTGTGTATTGGTGTATGCACATGTATGTGTATACATGTACATGCAGGCACCCATGGAGGCAGAAAAGGGTGTTGGATCCCCTGAAACCAGAATTACATGTGGTTGTGAGCTGTTCAAGGTGGGTGCTAGGAACCTAAATTGGATCTTCCTTGTCTTAGTTAGAGTTTCTATTGCTGTGAAGAGACACCATGACCACAATAATTCTTATAAAGGAAAACATTAAATTGGGGTGGCTCGCTTAAAGTTCAGAGGTTCAGTCCATTATCATCATGGTGGGACAAGGTGGCATGCAGGTGCTGAGAAGTAACTGAGAGCCTTACAGCATGAAGGCAACAGGAAGTGGTCTGAGACACTGGGCAGTGTCTTGAGCATACATGAGACTTCAAAGCTGGCCTCCAGAGCGACACACTTTCTCCAACAAAGCCACACCTCCTAATAGTGCCACTCCCTTTGGGAGCCATTTTCTTTCAAACCACCACATTCCATAAGAACAGGAACTGCTCCTAAGGAGTGAATCATCCTCCTTCCCCAACACACTTCTATTTTAAATACATTCTTGAGGTCCATTTATACTGACCAAGATACAGTAAAAATTAGGAGACTAAGAAAAACTCACAGATGTGAATTTCTGCTCAGCCATCTAATTAGTTACAGGACAAACCAATTTTTAAAAAAATTGTTTTATCTCTTAAATGGTGGTTATGAGGGCTAATACAATGAGTACAAGAGTTCTTAGTAAGTTGTAAAGCCCACAACAAATAATAATCATTTCTACATACTTAGGCTTTTAAATTCAGAATAAAGATTCACATTTATCTTTTCATAATCACTCACTTTGGTGCTACAGCTGAAGAGCTGACTTCTCACTGGTTTATCCTTTAGTTGAGAAAGTTTTCTCACTGAAAAGTGACTTAAAAAGAAATGGGACATGGATTTGCACAAGGCAAAGAGGGCATGCAAGGAACTCGGTGCCACTAGTAGGGATGAACTATGAAATGACTGGGCCAGCAGGATGGCTCAAGAGGGGAGCCACTTGCCACCAGGCCTTGATGGCCTGAGTCTTGGGACCCACGTGGTGAAAGGGGAACTGTCTCTTGAAGGTTGTCCTCTGACCTCCATGTGCACATTTTGACAAGTGTGCACACACACTGAAAAATAAATGAAAGTAAAAGACTTGAAACTATAAAATGACCACTCAAAAGTGCCTTAATGCATGTTTTTACTAGAGGTCAGGTAAAGACAGTGCCCATAACAGAATATGACAGGTACATTTAAGAAGTTCGCAGCAAACATTTACTGTCCAGATCCACTTTATTGTATACCACACGCTCTGTCTACCTATTAGAAGTGTAAGATAAACTCTTATCGTTAAACTAAAGAAAACTATTCTATATTTCAGTATTCAGAGGAAAAAGCAGAATAAATGTACTTTTGTACATTTGATTACATATTGATTAGAACTAAAATGGGAGCTCTCTATTTTATTGAATATTCATACATTATCATGTTAACATAAAATCTAACTATAAGTAACATAATATATGTTAAGTAATATATATATAATATAAAGTCTTTTTTTGTTTTGGTTTGATTTTTGTTTGTTTGTTTGTTTGTTTTTTCAAGACAGGGTTTCTCTGTGCAGCCTTGGCTGTCCTGGAACTAGCTCTGTAGACCAGGTTGGCCTTGAACTCACAGACGTCTGCCTAAAGGCATGTGCACCACCATCTGGTTAAAAGTCTTCATTTTTAAAAACTTAAAACTATGACAATTTTACTGTAAAGAACTCAATTATTTTTCATTTGGTATAACTTGAATTCTGTGGGACTTAAAATTAAAACAAATACAAGACGTACCTAAGAAGGCCAAAACCCTGACCCTGCTTCAGTGTGGTGTGAGTGTGTCAGATATGTGGTGATGTATGTTTCCGTAGAGAAACAGCCCAGGAGGCCGCTGAGTACCTGGTTCTTCCCCGCGTGCTCTCTGATTCTGAACAATTTCTAGAAGCTGCTGGGCTGCCTGGTTTACACTCATGTATCGAGGAGGTTCATAGATCTTCCTTCCCCTGTAAGTGTAAAACTAGACATCACTGTTCTTACCCGGAAATCACTGTGGCATTCAACGCTACACTCCCCAGGTAGACTGAGTGCCACAGCCCCCACTCTCAAGTTTTCCCGTGACACCCACTTCTGTCTAAACCAAGGGTGGGCCCAGCGGCTGAGTTTCTTAAGATTTCTCTGTTGTCCTACTTTGGCCATCCTCAATGACACTGAAATGATGGCAAGATTAATATTCTGACAAAGATACGTATCTAGACCAAAGTTATGCTTACTAAAAGTGATGCCTCAGGCAGATGTAATTCGCACTGTGTCAATGCCGTCTACACCCTGGGTGAACCGGTTGTTTTTATTTTCACGGTGCTGGGGATTGAACCTAGGGCCTAGTGCATGCTAGCCATTTTTTTATTAATATGTTCCTGTATCTTTTTTACTTCTTCCTCTGAGAAAACTGTCAAGATCTGAAAATCTTTGACAGCAACATGTTTATTTCTGCATACCAGAAAGCCCGGCGAGTTTACTGAGTATCGTAACAAAAAGGTAAGCTCCTGAAACTCACAGTCTGCATTGATCATTTGCTGATCTACAGTTCTGCAAGTCAATGCTGTCCAGAAGCACAGCACAGTGCAATCTCAAAAACTCCAGACACTACAGTAACAAGTTAAAGAGGCAAAATTAGTTTCAATAGCATGTAAATATATTTAACCCAATATCCCCCCAAAATATTATATATTTGAATACCTAGTTCACAAATAAGTATTAAACATCGCTTTTATACCAAGTCTTCGAAATCTGATAAGCACTTTCAGCACATTAAGTTTTAATCAGAAATATTTAATATGTATATAAAATATACGGTCATAAAAATAGATTTATAAGGATAAGTTGGAGGGGGGACATTACTAAAACATATGTAAACATGTATGAAATTCTCAATGAATAAAATATATTTAAAAAACATATTTACATATTAAAGTTGTCTCAAACAACCTAAAGGTCTTGTAATTATTAGTCTAACGTTAAATGAAGCCTGAGTTCTTCAGCTTCATCAGCCACATTTCCAGTGCTCATCACCATGTGTGGTGGGACTGCTGTACTGCACACTGCCTCATTGAGAGAGGATCCCGGCCTCACACACAGAAGTGACCCACCCTTGCCCGGGTCCTCACACATAGGAGAAGTGACCCACCCCTGCCCGGGTCCTCACACATGGGAGAAGTGGCTCCCCCAACACAGATACATGGGGGAAGTGACCCCAAAATAGCAGCAGCCAGAGGCAGGCGTCAGATGTAAGCCCAAGGTTCTGAACTCCCAACACATTCGTTCATTCATTCATTCATTCATTCATTCATTCCACCCACATTTACAGGCGGCTTTAAATGCCTATCACTGCTCTCAGGGTTGGCTCTATGAACTCTACTGCTACCTTCACCAGACCACCCGGCTCTATCTTTTTACTGTGTAACTGTGCCGAAAGCTCATTTTCATCCATCGTTAGCCTCAGCTCACTGAAGCATTATGGACTTCGTCCTGGAATGGAAAGGACGCACCTCATGAGATTTTCCAGGGACTGCTCCTTCACTTTGATATCTGTAGGGAGAAAGGACAGCTCTTTTAATCCAGTTGTTTTACCCCAATCCTTCAGCTTCCATTAGGGATCACACACAGTTTTGGAAATCTTTCCAGAGCCCCTAAATGCTGATCCGAGTTTGTGGTGTCTCTGCTCACACTTGTGTGTGACTATTTTCCTATGAAGGTTGGAGAGCATGGAGACCCTGTGGCTGCGGAAAGGTCCCCATGGTAGAAAGCAAACTGGAGTTTGGCCTGACACTCCTCTGCAGGGATCTAGTTTCCTGTTGGAAAAGATGATAAGGGAAAGCACTAGATGATGTTGCCATGTGCACTACTTAACTAATCAGAATCTTTTAAATTCTTCTGCCTGGAAATTTGTACAGACTCATCCGAAATGTCTGCTTGTACTCCTACACTTATTTATTTTTCAGGCATCAGACTATAAAAGCCTTGAAGGATAAAACCTAAGTTTAAAAAAAGATTCTTGTTTTGTTGCTTGTCTTTTTGTTTTTCGAGACAGGGTTTCTCTATGTGTAGTCCTGGCTGTCCTGGAACTCGCTCTGTAGACCAGGCTGGCCTTGAACTCACAGAGATCCACCTACCTCTACCTCCTGAGTGCTGGGATTAAAGCTTCTTACCATATTTTGAAAAGAAGTGTTTGCTTTCTTACAGTGGTAAGACATACTATAATAACGAATGAATACTGTAGTAACGGGGCTTCAGAGCTCTCTGCCAGATACTGGGCACCACAGGGCGTGGATACAATCTCTGTGCTCGACAAGTCTGACTGCACCATGGCAAAGACGTGGTCCTTTGCAGTTCACTCCACTGATGCTTAGCTGAGCTGCTGGGGAAACGGTGAAAAGCCAACTGGTTCTGTGTGCTTCCAGGAACTTCACAGAAGGACAACAGCTGCTTCCTGTTTTACAGCCACATGCATGGTTCAGCCAAAGTTTGTTTTTGTAAAAATAATATGGTACAACTGAAGGGTCGCTGACAGACTTCTCCAACTTACTAAAGTGATAGTAAAAGCTTCTCTTATTGACGAATACTAAGCAGTTTACCTAGAAACTGTAACAATGGTAAACCTTATATCTGCTTTTCAATGTCTATGGCACTTAATATTTAAGTATTTCTGAAATTTGAAATATCATCATTTCATAGTTCTACTTGTCTGGCACATACAAAAATGAATGTTATTGAAACTATGTCCTCCAATACAGTTAGTAATGGAAGTCATATTTTACTTTAAATACACAGTTAGTAATGGAAGTCAAATTTACTTTAAGTCTTGAATACTTAAGGTAACACCTGCATTAATTCATTCACCTTGAACTTGTAAAATGCAACATGTCTACTGTAAAACATGTAAAGCAGAGATGTCTACTGAAAATGTGGACATGGGTACACATGAGTACAACCTACTCCAGCCCACCTGAAACTACGTTTAAGCAATAAGTTCCAATTATTTCATACAGACTTTCCTTTCTACTTTAATGCTTTGTACTTAGAATTATCTATGTAACTAATGTTCTTTTACTAACTTCTGACTATATCACATATATTAATCTTGTCTCTAAATAAATTATAAGTTGTTTGCAGTTTCCTACCATGCTTTTTGCTCCCTAATCCCTAATCCCTGGCCCATAGCAGACATTCAACAACTACATACTAATTTAAATGATGAAATCTATGATTTGAGAATTTGGAAGCCTGACACCCTACGCTCCATACATTAATAAATAATAAAATAAGACAAACAATAACTGTCTTAGTCACTGTTCTATTGCTCTGAAGAAACACCATGACCAACCCTTATAAAAGAAAGCACTTAATTGGGGCTTGCTTACAGTTTTGGAGGCTTAGTCCATTATCATCATGGTGGGGAGCATGGCAGACATGCAAGCAGACACAGTGCTGGAGAAGTAGCTGAAAGTTCTACATCCTGATCCACAGGCAGCAGGAAGAAGAGACACTGGGTCTAGCATGGTCTTTTGAAACCTCAAAGCCCACCCTCTGAGACATACTTCCTCCAGTAAGGACACATCCACACCAGCAAGGCCACACCTGGTCCTTCTAATCCTTTCCAAAGTCCCAGTCCCTGGTGACTAAGCATTCAAATACATCATCAGTCTATGGAGGCCATTCTTTTTTTTTTTTTTTTTTTTTTTTTTTTTTGGTTTTTCAAGACAGGGTTTCTCTGTGTAGCTTTGCGCCTTTCCTGGGACTCACTTGGTAGCCCAGGCTGGCCTCGAACTCACAGAGATCCGCCTGGCTCTGCCTCCCGAGTGCTGGGATTAAAGGCGTGCGCCACCACCGCCCGGCTGGAGGCCATTCTTATTCAACCACCACGACCACAAAAACAGCCAAACATATCAACCTTTGACTTGGGGGCTGGTGAAAAGGCTAAGCAAACAAACACACTTATTGCTTACATGGATGACTGTCATTTGATCCATAGGACCTCATGGTGCAAAGAGAGAACTAATTCCCACAAGTTTTCCAAGTGTTCCTCTGACTTCTAAACATGTGCTGTGCCATGCACATGCATACACACACATACACATACAAAATAATTTTTTAAAAACCACCAAAACTAGTTTGAGAAGCACTACTCTCAACAACCCCATGAGGTAAGATGGCTTATTCTTATTTAGCAGTATGAAGACAAAGGCTAAGAGTTATTCTCAGTATTTTCTAGCTCATAAGCATAGACACTAGGATTTTGTCTTCTGGTTCCAACTCTAAGTGTCATTTCAAGGTTAATTTAAGATGTCAGCTATGTTGTGGTCATCAAGGGGAAAGTGACAATTTGATTCTAGTATTCCTTTATATAACATGTAAACCTAGAAGAGGCTCTTAGACACAGGACTTGTTAAATCCCGGTCTCTGCTAATGGCAAAGCCATGTCTATCTGAAACTCAGTACTATTTAGTATCTTGTTGCACAAAGCAGTCCTAGCCCTTTCTATGTTAAACAGGAAGTAAAATTTGGACAGGACAGTACAATGAGGGGAGCTGGAAATAATGGGTCATTTGTATTTTATTCTGTTAACAGTTAAATGAATGGTACTGGGAAACTATTCAATATTCAACATCATCTGCAAAATAGATTTTAGCAAAATGATCTTTGGAGTATCTTTCAGAAGTATCATTTTGTGATTTTTGACAGTGAATATCCTAGAAGATGCAAAATGGTTGGTGACGACAATAAATGCTCACTACATGTCTGCTGAACTGCAATAATGATGGACAAATCTGTAAATACAGACTCTTGGAAAGGATCTATAGGTTCTAGGAGGGAACAGTAAGTCTGAGCATGAACACAGGATTTATGTGGTATTTCAAGCTGAGAGTACGGGAAAGAGCTGTGTGTATACAGTGGCTAGCCTGTGTCCGTGTTTTGTTTTGTTTCTTTTCTCTACCGAGTTATTCACAGAACAGTTGGACTTCTATCACGAAATGAACACAAGAGAAGTCTGACAATTCACTGCACGAGAACAAGGAAGCTTCCTGCTGCTTACCAAGCAAACACAATGTGTGCATGCCATTTTGTCTGTTCTTCTTCACTCTGTCAAAGAAGCTCTCTGGTCTCCAAGTGTCCGTCCAAAACACAATAGAAACTGTTTCTCCAAACTTGTACAACTAGAAAAGAAAACATTACTTAATGATACAACCATCACTATTATTCATAGGTCAAGAGCCCTGAAATAGGGCTGATGACCCAGATGGAAAGAAAGCCCAGTAGTTAAGAGCTAGTACTACAGTTGCAGGCACCCAAGTCTATGCAGCACATAATCACCTCTATCTCTAGCTCCAGGAAGATTTGACCCCTCTGGCCTCCATGGACACCTGACTCACATGAACATACCACCCCCATAGACGTAATTAGAAACTTAAAAAAAAAAAATCAATCTTCAGGAAAAAAAAAAGCACAGAAATAAAAATAGCTTTCAGCACTCACAACATGTGTCAAAAGTTTAATATTCTGCTTCCCTGATAAGACTACCAAGCCTTAGAAAGATCAGTTGACTTACCTAAGGTCACACAGCGAAAAATAAATAAATACACAAACTGAGGTCTGAGGGAATGTTCTTAACTATCATCTTAGCTCAATAAAATCCACAAACTGCATACTCACTCTTACTATTTACTGCTCACAAGCCATACTCTCCCAATTTAACAAGATTATCTCTGTCCTTCATGTTGAAGTCAGATAGTAAGGACCTTCCCCAAATCACCGTCTCACCCAGGGGGTCCCTGTCACTACAAATAAGAAGCTGCATGAGTCCATTGCAGCCCAACTCTAGAGCTTATGCAAAGAATAGTCAAGTTTTGGAGGTAGGCTCTGTAACCTGCTAGCTGTGCAGGAAAAGTACCAATACCATTTATCCTGTCCCCAGCTGTGGGGATCAAGTGACACATAAAAATTATTCACATGCTGAAGTTACATGCAAATTTATAACAGCTTTTGCAGAGGCACTGTATAAAAGAGATTTGTTTCTAAAAACATAGTACAGTAAAGACAATGCTAAAGTTATAGAATGATTTAATTCTCCAATTTAAACAGTTCGATACAACTTGTGAGAAACCAGGAATGTAGAGACACTGAAAACCACATCTAGTAACTTGTCACAGGTTAGAAAGTCATTTTACTTTCCTAAGCCTGTGCTCTTGTGTGAAAAAGGAAGAGACAAGTCTCAACTGGGCACCGGAGATGCTGTTTCCTGCAGTGAAACTTCCTTCTCACTTCAGTTTCAGAAGCTGTGGCAAGAGGTGCCAGGAAGCAGACAGGAAGGAAGCAAGAAAAGGTGGGGCACTCAGGGCATCCATCCCTACTTCTCTAGAGCAGCTAATACTTCTCAGGCTTTGTATACCGAGGTCTTAAAACCTTTAACAGTCATCACAGCATCTCTGAGTCCTAAAAGGATGGTTCATCATGTCCCTAATATGCTACAGACTCCAATTTACCTCAAGGAGCTTTATTCTCAAAGCCCATTTGAAAGTTATCCGAACAAAACATCTTCAGAGAGAAGTCATGCTACTCTGTAGCAGGCGTGTTCACCAAGACAGTGTACAAAGACTGTGTTGCTCCAAATATTCCCTCATGGATCTTCCTGGCCTGGGGAAGAAGACTTCTCTGTGACAAATACATTTTGAGTTCTAAGATAGGTTTCTTAGACTACATTCCCCAGGATCCACTTCCTGGGAAAGGCCCTAACTCTGCAGAGGAGTTGTTCCGGTTGCTGTCCTATGACAAGCAAATTTATCCAACGAATAATGAATACATTTGTGCCTACTATGTGCCAGGCACTATTCTGGGCACAGGTTTAAAGTGATAAGCCAACGGACCTCTGGCCCTCATGAAACAGCTAACAAAGGCTCTGGACCCAGGGCAGTGGTTCTGGTTAGCTGCCTGGTCATTGACAAGGTAGCTAACCTCTGACCTGGACAAGAACACCCTGCATGGGGAGTGTACTGAGCACAGTTTTAAGGACTGAATAACCAAGGGCACACTGAGTGCCTAGTTGTGCCTCATACACTGTCAGGGCTCAGTATATGATGCAATGATGTACATGATGATTATATGAAAATGTCCTGAACTGCTGTGTCCTGACAGGATCCAACTGCTCTCTTTATTGGCTAAGTTCAAGAAGTACCAACTATACAAAACTACTCTTAGTAAGCTACATTTACAATGGACAAGTTAAACTATACATTTTAAATGGGGTCTGTCACCTCCCATCGAACTTGAAACATGTTGTTTCATGAAAACCTTCATGGAAAAGTGTATTTCCATTTATGTACTAATATTTAAGAGGCTCTGATATTTTAAGAAATAGGGAAACAAAATCATGGAAGCAAGGAAGTTCTTCATTCAAACACAGTGATCAAGCCTTGAAAAGAGAATTGAGATGCTAGTCACATTTAACCTAACAGAAGTGTTCTCTGTGAAAGACTGTGCACTGCTCAACTGGGAGACTGAAGGAACCCTCACACAGGCACTGCCTCCTCGGACCCTGATTTATAACTGCAGCCACTCCGCAGCAAGGGTGCAAACTTCTTCAGTGAATGCTGGAACATTCTGCAAACAGTTTCACCACTGAGATGTCAGTGCCTCAGGGAACGGAAGGACCGGCACTGTGCATTTCACAACCAAAGGACTTACTATTCATTACCAGTAAACTGTAAAAAGAAACTGGAGCAAATCTCAGGGACAAGAGCTGAGGTGCAGAAGCCTCAACACTGGGCTGTCCTACAACTCTGGCCTGTGTGCTACGACCTGACTTCCTGACAATATTGTTCATCCAAATCTGACAATGTTACTGTTTCAAACCTAAGTTTGAAAACTACAAAATCATCTGTTTTCTCAGAAATACTAGAGGAAACAGATCTGTTCTTTGTTTATCTGGGATAATTTAGAGAGAAAGCATCCCATTTAACTTGGTACTGGATTGTGTTTTGTTAAAGAAAAAAGAAGGAAAACAAAACCTCCAACTGAAAAGCATCCATCCAGTCACTGTGTGAGGTACTAACTACTGAGGCAGAGGGCGAAGACGCACAGGAAAGAGACATAGCAGGTATTAAACAGTCCTGTTCAATATGACATATGGACCGCACCTAGTCGGAGAGTTCAGCCCTTTCCACACTCAGAGAAAAGCACCTGCAAGTGTCTTCTGAGAGACAGACCACGAGCTGGAACTCACAGACAGAAAGGATGAAGGTGCAGGAGTAGGCACGGGAAGAACAAGAGGATGAGCTACATAACAGGATGGCATAAGACAGTTACTAGGAAGAGCAAGTGTATGTCTAAACTGTACCTCACATTTCCGACATCTTACCAAACACCTATTCCTATCAACTCCAGCTGCAGAACTCGGAGAAATATGAGTTTCTATCAATTATTCCCTACTGCTTTGAGCCCTTGACAGCACCTGTCTGAGTGACTCCTAGTCTCCTAACTCACCTCACTGCCACCACCATTTCGCTCCTGTCCACACAGCATTTTTACACGGATCCATTTATTCGTGTTTATATATACACATACAGACACGCACATGGTATGGCAGGCAAAAGACAACCTGTGGAAGCCGGTTCTCTCTCTACTATGTAGATTCTGGGCATTGAACTTGGGTCATCAGGCTTGGTAGTGAGCACTTTTTACCCTTGGAGCCATCTTGTTGGCCCAGTACAGTACTCTGTAAAACTGGACTCTATAACTAGGATTTAACACTTGTTATCTTGTATTAAAAATGTTTTCTGTGGTTTATTGTTTTTTTAAAAAAATCCGATAAATCAAGAAGTCTGTTATATATGTGTGAGTATATGAACTATAAATTTTCACTTGCTAAGAAACCTATTAGGGTCCATATGAAGATTAAATCTGTGAACATTGGGAGAAAACAAAGACAGCAGAAGTGTCGACATACTCACCACAAACCCTCATAGTCACTCCGAGTCAAGAGTGACTAGTTTTCCTATCTGTATGGAGTACTGATCCTGGAGATGTTTTGTGTTGTTGCTTTTACCCTGAATGATATTAATAATACACTGATTTTTGATGATACTAAGATTATGAACATGGCTACACATGAGGCACGTATGTTGAGTACATGTCACAAAAGAACTACAAAATCTATGTTCTCAGCTGGGCCGTGGTGGCGCACACCTTTAATCCCAGTACTCAGGAGGCAGGGGAAAGCAGATCTCTGAGTTCGATGCCAGTCTGGTCTACAGAGCAAGTTCCAGGACAGTCCAGGCTGTTACACAAGAAACCCTGTCTCAAAAAACAAAAAACAAAACAAAACAAAAAAATCTACGTTCTCATATATAATTGGGAATCCATTTATGAACTAAATAAAAATGAATTATATTTTAGAGTATGTTACTCCAAAGACAGTATCTGATTTAGAAGGCAGAAGATAAACAATTTACCTCAGGAAATACCTGTTGTGAATTGATTATTTTTATGATGCTGTGATAAAAACAATAGAAGATGAATAAACTAATGTGACTGCAAACATTCTGAATAGGAGAGGTATTTACCGAGTTGTCTGAGTAGAAAAATGGTACAGTGAGACCCACAATTTAGAAAGAAACTACTATCGCTTCTCGGCCTTTTGGCTAAGATCAAGTGTAGAAAGAAACTACTGAATGAGAAGGATGATGAATCAGTGCTCTACAACAATGGGGACAGTAGATGTGGTGGTACACAGGTAATGCCAGCACTTGGGAGACTCAAGCAGAGATGGCGAGTTCAAAGCCAGCCTGGGCTATGTAACCAGGCCATGTCTCAGAAAATCAAAACAAGGGTAGCGAGATGGCTCAGAGGGTAAAGACACCTGCCTCCATGCTCAATGACTTGACCTTGTCCCCTGAGGCGCACGTGGTGGAAGGAAAGAAGCTCCGGTACAAGCTGTCTCATGACCTATATGCATTTACTGTGGCACACACACCCCCAACACACAAATAAAAAAAAAAAAGACACTGAAAGAAAATCAAAATAAACAAATAAAAACTAGAGACAAAATCAAAATAAATACGAATTAAAGACAGAGTTGATGGGAAGGAAAGGGAAATGTTTAACAAGCATGCTAATGAGTTGGCAGATCTTAGGTTCTGTGGTGAGAGCCATGCAGAGTTCTGCTGTCCTCGTTACCCATGTCCCTTTGCTGTGCTGTACTTTCATCAATTACTACATTAGGTCCTAGACCACAATGAAACCACTTAATGCTCTGAAGCCTAACAATAAGAATACTAACTACACCATCAACAGTGCTGACTATTATTAGAGGGTTGTGAAATGAAAAAAGGAAACCAGTTGTTACTTTTTGAAAGTAATACACATTTTTCTAGAGTAGACATGTACTATATAAACAAAAGAATACATGGCAATACTCTGGGTCATTTAAGCAACAGCCAGAGAAAGTGGAAGTATTTCATCAGGATGAGAAAAATTACATAATTATCCGCAAGCTCCTTGAAGACAAGTCATGACAGCATCCAAAGGCACTTCCCAAGCAAGCATTCAGTAGATACACAGTATTTACGGAATGAATGCAGCATGTTTGTCTTAAATACGTCCAACTTGCAAGCCTCTGATATACTTTTTGTTTCAACTGGAAACTTTCACTAAGGATGAGACTTATGGTACTTCTGTACCACATGACCCCCCCCCCCCCCCCCCAGATCAGAATGTTCATCGGTGGGTTATGGATATGTGTTTGTATACACAGGTAGACGTGTTAGGAAGTTCTGCAGCTATTTGCTATCAATAACACCAAGATCACCAAGAATCTGCTGTCTACCAATAAACGACCAAGTCAAGGATACTACTCAGTGCTTAATTCCGAACCATCCTTTCAAGCTCTTTAGAAAGCTACAGAACCAGACCAGCTTCAGAGGGGACAACCGAGTAAAAACACTGTGCCTTCTGGGTTAGGAATGTTGGCTGCTACACTTTGAGGCTGAGATGACAGAAGGCGCATTTTGCTCAGGTCTTTCTTCCACAGCACTCAAAGCAGCACTTCCTCCTTTCAATAACACAATGTTTCTGAAGTCGTGACAAAGCATTTGAGAGGACAGGACACCTTCCAAAAGTGAAGCCTACTTCCATTTAAAATTAAGTAAGAGAACATGAGGAGGAGCCTGCTAACATTCTCCATCTGGCAGGTGAATTTCTGGTAACTAACATCTGCTCTTTCAGTCCCAACAAGCTAAAGGGAGATAATGAAGTATTTTCATTTTCTAAGATTTTTACTTGCTTGTGTTGATGGTTGTGAAAGCATGACCTCGTACCCGTAGCTGCAGCAGCTTGTTAAATGCAAATTCTCTTGGAGCTCGAAAGATGGCTCCATAGTTCAGAGTGTGTACTGTTCTTCTAGAGGACTTGAGTTCAGTTCCCAGCATCCAGGTTGGGCAGTTCACAAAGTGCCCTGTAACTACTGTTCCAGGGGACCCAGTACCCTCTTCTGGCTTATGTGGCACCCACATGAACACACACACACATACATACACACACACATACACCACACACACACCACACACTAAAAATGAGGGGGGTATATGGGAGAGGTTGAAGAGAGAAAAGTGGGGGGAGATGATATAATTATATTTTAACTTAAAATAAATATGGTAAATAAATTTACATTTATTTACATTATTATGTAAATGTAAATTCTTACACCCCACCACCACCAGATCTACTACTCTCAGAAAGTATGCTTGCTGGTAAGGCTTAGCAGTCACAGCCCTCTAGGTAGGTCTACTATTCTCAGAAAGTCTGCTTGCTGGTAAGGCTTAGCAGTCACAGCCCTCTAGGTAGGTCTACTATTCTCAGAAAGTCTGCTTGCTGGTAAGGCTTAGCAGTCACAGCCCTCTAGGCAGGTCTGATGAACGCTGTCTCTGATAGTCATTTGCTCAGTATCTTCCACAAATGTAGTCCAAATATTAAAGAAAAAAGTTCAAAAAGGAAAGGAATTCAACTGAAGATCTTGCATTATACATGGTATGTATGCATTTATTTAAAAGTATGCCATGTATACATAGTTGACCCTCCATATCTATGCTTCTAAGTCAATGAATTTCACTAACCATGGAGCAAAAATATTTGGGGGTTTGGGAGACTGTTTCTGTAATTAATATGTACTACTTTTTCGTGTCCACTATAACAATACAACACAGCTATTTCCACAGCACCTGCCCCGCACTCGATATTCTAAGTACTCTTGAGATGAATTAAAGTAGATGAGGGTCTATGTGCAGGCCGTATACAAGTACTACACCATTTTATAGAGGGAATCTGAGCATCAGCAGATCTAGCATCTTTAGGAGTCTTAGAATTAGTGCTCATGAGAAAGATAACTGTCATTTCTTAAATGTGTTTTTTTTTTTTTCTTTCTTTCTTAAATGTGTTTTAAGTCAGAGAACCGTAAAAAAAAAAAATCAATCCCTCTTCTCCATGGAATGCGAATATTTTGGGTGGCACAGAGGTCTATCTTCACAGAAGCCATTGTGGATGAGAAGGAAGAGCAAGGCACATCCTGTTGTGTACAGACACTGTCATTTCACACACAGATTAGATAATGAAATGAAGGTGGGAAATGGAAACAGATGCCCGGAAGAGTCCATATACAATCACGAAAGCTAAATAGTTTTTAAAACAATATAAACATAAATACAATCTCAGGAGCACATATGGAAACTGTCAATTCTCACAGCAAATTCCTTCTCAAACAGACCTCTTCTGTTTTAGATAGAACACAATTAATTACCTCTTGAAACAATTCAGAAGATCAGAATGACAGGCCAGCAAATTGAGTTCTTGGTCTACACAACAGATACCTTTGCAAGGTATTTGTTTTTAATGCTTAAGAAAATAAAACAAAAACAATACTTCTGGGAAAACATGATAAAGAAAGGGCTACTTTTTTCACAAGACCTAAAATTAAAACCAACATAAAAAAATATGTTCCATTAGTTTAATGTTTATACATCTTTCTTATCACATGACATTTTATTTTCTTCTTTTGTCTTTTTTTTAGTAACCATTAAATCTTTCAAAGTATCACTGCCCAAATTAAAGTTTCTTGTTTTTGTTTTGTTTTTTTATTCCATCTCTGTTACAGGAACATTTTTAGGAGTCATTTTCTCTATCTGACATGTTCTTTGAAGCATTAACAGTTTAGAGCCCTGTGAAGAGCTTTCACCCTGCTCCAATACAGAAATGCTTTCAACTATAAAGACTAATCGGCAAGAGTTCTTTTAAAGTATACATCATAGACAAAAGGGATACAAACTCCTAAGCCAATACAAATGTAATAACTCAGAGCAAGGGGCAAGCACTGCAAAGTGATGTGTACAATTTTGTCTATTCTTCATAAACAATTAAAATTCATACTGGATGGCCAGCATTAGTCAATGAAACAAAGCTATTCTTCCTAAGCAACAAAGAGCTGGTTTTAACACATCTTATTTTTTAGATGTTTATTTATTTGAGAGGAGGCATGCTACAGCATGCACGTGGAAATCAGAAGACAACTTGCAGAAGTCAGCTTTCCTTCCACCATGTGGGTCCCAGAGTTCAAACTCAGGCTGTGAAGCTTGGAGGTAAGCCCTTTTACTTACTGAACAAGCTCATGGCACCAAATGTATCTTTTAAAACATACCTATCATGGTAGCAAATGTATCTTTTAAAAATTATCTATCTATAAGTGATGGATTTCAGCAAGATAGATCAGGGAAGGTCTTATTTCATGCATTCTAAGGTGCATGCATATTTTCTATTAAAATATAGAGACTTAGGGTATCACAAGCAGTATCTTAAAAAGCACTGCTGTGCCGGGCAGTGGTGGTGGTGCACGCCTCTAATCCCAGGACTGGGGAGGCAGAGGCAGGAGGATCACTGTGAGTTCGGGGCCAGCCTGGTCTACAGAGTGAGTTTCAGGACAACCAAGGCTACACAAAGAAACCCTGTCTTGAAAAAAAAAAAGCACCTCTGCCATGCAGGGATCACAGCTGCCATGAAGTAGGAAGTGTCAATATCAGAACATATATCACACTTGGACAGTGGATACCAACAGCTTAAGAGAAAATCTTAGAAACAGCAATAGAGCACTCTTTCAAGCTCTCTGAGCGACAACTGTTGGAGTTAAAAATAACTAACTTTACACACCAGCACTTGGAATATGGCCTCAACGCCTTCGTCACTGGCTTACAGCTCTGTATTCATCTAAGAAACACAGCATCATATGCTCTCAGTAAAAGAGAAAGGGATACTGTGTGGGAAACTCAGGCTCGACTGCACTGATTATATAAAGACTGTTTAGGAATAGTTAATGTAATTTGCTTCTTTCCTTTTTTAAGTATATATGAGATTGATATAAAGTTAAAATCATCTGTAACTAAATTTACATGGCCTGTTGAAAGAAGGGTTACAAGAAAGGAAAAATAATAATTAATTTATAGGAAAACATTACAAAAAACTTAGCATATGTTTCAAGACTACATTCTTAAAAATTAAGTTTTATCACACCTATATGAAGTAACAATAAAATCAACTTGTAGCTTACAGGAAAAATAGAACATTTTTCTACATCCCATCGAACACTTCCTTTGTAGCATTACCTGTAAACCACAGCAGCCTACAGCATTCATTATAGAGGCATTGTGAATAACTTGATAAGGGATTCCCAACTTTGTTGCTCTCAGAACAAGATCACTGTGTGTTGTAGCCCTGTAGTGAGAAAACAGGTTCAGTTAAGTGAACGACACTAATCTTCTATCCGAGCTCACAAATTCAAGTCAAAGAGTCAACTGTTCTTCCTCAAATTCTACGAGGCACCTGCAGAGGTCTTTTATTTGGGCTTTTTAGGGATGCAGTATACATCTCCCTGCATCCCTCACATGATGTCATTCCAACTACAACACTAACACTGATTGAAGAAAGGAACTTGCTGTGTCCTGATGTCTGCTAAAGACATTTGGAGACTACAAACTCAGCAATTTGATTCTTGTCTCAGGGCTTCTTTAGATGAGTTTTAAGAAAATCTAGCTAGCCATTATTAATAAATACAATTGGCATTTCAATATGTACATCTACATATGAACAATGATCAAAATGACTTATCACCTCAGACATTTATCATTTCCTTGTGTTCCCATATTCAAGAGTCTTCTCTACTACCTATTTATTTCAAAATACTCAACTGTCCCCAATCATGGTTTTTACTAAATCATTAGAATGAATCCTATCTCAGCCTCTCCTGTACCCAGTAACCATCTTCACTCTAACCCCTTCCCCGGCACGCTTTCCAGGCTCTGGAAACAATTATCCTAACATCCCTTTTTAGACATCAATATTTAGTTTCCACATGTTAAGTGGGACACTTTAAATGATGAAGTTTCTCCTTTATAGTTCTGGGGTACAAGTAAACCAAATTCCTTACTTCTGCCCTATTTGGATTTGTCTTTGTATCTTAAAATTAAAGGTGAAACACAGGACATAGCCTGCTGTCCTTCAATCTATTAAATTCTGCCTGACAGAATTCCACTTGGAGTTTACATCTGTGTGTAGTCTTTCTATTTATAGCTCTTTTCTGTCTGGCTACTTACTGTATATACTTAGTGTGGTGTGTGTGTGTGTGTGTGTGTGTGTGTGTGTGTGTGTGTGTGTGTGTGTGTGTATGTGTGTGTATGTGTGTGTGTGTGTGTGTGTCCTATGCATGTTCTGACTCTTAACTTAAAAGTGTGATTATAACTAGGTAGGCTGGGGGAGAAGAGAATATATGTAAATATAAACTGAATACTATGACATGTAATCTCACATCAATTTAGAATGGCATTACTAAAGGTTCTTTTCATCTTGATAAAAATGCTAAGCCCTACTGGGGAAAGCAACATTAGCATGTTTGAGAAACTACTTACAAATAAGCAGAATCTGTCAACTGGTCAATGCATACCAAGTAGGAAGATCAAGGGCTTCCACCCCATGAGGCAGCCAGCTACAGATTAAAACATGCCCACCAGGGAAGCCTGTTTTTAATCACACACAGAAAGTAAAACCAGTATGAAAAATTATTAGCAATTTGACTTAGAGTGTTTAAAAAAAAAATAACAAGAATGCTAGATGTAAAGAATGTTTTTAACACTACCTTGAACAGAATCTTCCTACTTAATATTTAAGTTCAAGGAAAAGTAAATTAGTTATTTGATGAAGGTGTTATTTTTTTTTTAATTTAAAAAGCTTTATGGGTGAGTTACTTAAATAGACAAAGAGAAAAACTGGTTTAAGATTGTATCACTATCACAAACTCATTTGAAATAATCAGACCAAATAACGCACACATAAGTTTACTATTTTCAAATGTAGGAACTGAGTTACCTAACCAGAAACCCAGTGAAGAAATTTTGCCTTAACAGCACACTTGTTATTTGGAATTCTTTTAAAGGCAATTTCAAAGAAAAGCAGCAAAATGGCTTACTTGATGGATTTACCCAAGTACACAAAGACAACTGTAACAGTGCTGCCATGACATGGGGGTGGGGGTGGGGTTGGCTAGCAGTCAGGAAATTTACTGTTTCAAGGTACATGGTGAAAATTACAACCTCAAGAGCTATTAGAAGCATTATATGTTGAAAATTCATTTGAAAGTTGCTTTATTTGCTAGAAAATGTCTGCACCTACAGATCTTTACTTTGACCTTAAAACCTTGAAACAATCTACCACAAAGAGATAGTGAAAAATGTAGAGAAGTAGAAGAGAAAAGGAGCTGTATGTCAGGACTTATTTGTATAACAAGCTTTACGTATGTTGGAGAAACAAGTTTTATTTGTATTGGAAAACAGAACAGACTATTGATACTGATGGCATGTATGGACAGTTATTCAGCGCCAAGTGCTGGTCAAAACATTACATGGAATGGGAATCATCAAATGGTCTACATTAGGACACAAAGAAGACAGGCAAATACAGGTACACCTGTATGTGTGTTTCACTAAGGAAAAGGTACATGGCATGAAAATCAAAATTACAGATTCAGTATACATGTTTATAGTCACGGTGCATGTTAAAATACAGAATGAATAATGAAACAGAAGCCTCACTAGAAAGAGTCTTTAATGATAACTCCTTCTATGGACAGTAAGGGACAGAGGTTGCCTGATACTCTTATCTCCCATATGGCTGGGCCAAGTACTGATGCTGTACCATTTAGAATCAGTAAAATCTCCCTGTTGCTAATTTCTACTTCCCTTTCAATAACCTGGATACAAGGGGAGTGGGGAGTTTATGGCTTTTAATTATCTCCTTGAAGGATGTAAGACTATGGGGGACAGTGATGAATAGCTATGATGGGGGTACAATACTGTGAATGTTCCTAAATTCAGTGATCTGTGTATATTAAGGTGAATTTTATGTTACATATATTTTATCACAGTTCAAAAATTACTGGAAAAAAAGAATTTAAGACTGCACATCTTAACTTCTTTTCATAGTTTTAAATTTTTATTATTAAATTTTGTGCGCATAATATTTTGTGGGCATGAGTGTGTGTGTGTGTGTGTGTGTGTGTGTGTGTGTGTGTGTACACATGTCATGGCATAAATGTGGAGGGAAGAAGACAGATCTGTGGAGTCAATTCTCTCCTCCCACTCTATGTGGGTCCTGGGACTCAGACTCTGGACACCAGGCTTGCACAGTAAACATCTTATCACCTAAGCCATCTTGCTCGTCATCTTTTCATATTTTATTCAAATAGGTAGAAGATGCTTAAAACTAAACAGGAGACTTTTTGTCATACATGTTGCAATAAGAATTTTATTTAGTATCTTGTTGCACTTCCTGTTGTCCCTGGATTCCTCAGGTCACTCAACTTCATCCTCTTTATGGACTCACTAGTGAGACATTTGAGTGTAGTTACATGCCTGCAGTCTCCGTTAGTGACGGAGAAAGCTGAGGCAGGAGGATCACTTGAGCCAGGAATTCAAGGCTAGCCTGGGCAGCATAATGAGATCTCACCTTAAAAACAAAAATAAAAACTCGGAAACAAACAAACTTATTTAATTAATTAGATTTAATGACATATTTCCCACCATCCCATTTCCATCTACATCCCAGCAGGAATCCAGTAGTAGTCAAGACAGTTACAGTACTTGAACTTGAATCTAACACAAGGTTGGAGATGATCAGGCACTAAGATAGTGCAAATTAATTATCATTAGAGTTTCAAAGGGGGAAAAAATAGTAAAATAGTTCCAAAGAGTTTACAACTAGAACTGGGTATCACCTGGGAAGTAGAGGCTGAAGGACCAGGAGTTCAAGACTCGTTTAGGACACTGAGATTTCAATGCTAGCCTCAATTACAGGAGATTGTCTCAATCCAAACCAAAATAACACAAACAAAACGCAGAGGGCTGAGCGAGTACAGAGGGCAATACTGCAACAACGCGCGAGAAACGCACCGCTGTACGACTTAGCGCTAGGAGGGCGGTCACAACAGGAGCCAGGGAAAGCAGAGACTGAAGACCAGACGCAAAGTCACTCAGGGTTAGCAGGGAGGCCAACTACAGGAAGCCACTTTCTCTGCACATTCCTTTTCTTTACATGGCACTCACCCCTTCCTCTCTGCTGCCTGCCCTACAGTCTCTTCTTCAGAACCCTACCCAGATCCAGTTCAACACTCATGAACACCGAGCACCTACACACACATTCTTCTGCTCGCATACTTAAGTCTTTCCAGCTTCTGTAATGACATCCGCCTGCTTTCCCCTCTCCTCTGGCTACATGAAATGCTCCTTTCCTAGGGCTTTCTTTGTAACTAGGCTGTCTTCTCTTTCGTCTCTCCTCTGGAGTGATCCTATTCAATCCTCTGGCTTTAAATACCACCTGCATACCAATGACTTCAGGGCCAGAACAACCCAGGCTCCTGCTTGTAGAACCAGTCCTTAAGTCAGCTCCTTCCTTCTTTTCCATGTCTACCACAACCATATTTTTTTTTCCTTTGGTTTTTCGAGACAGGGTTTCTCTGTGTAGCTTTGCACCTTTCCTGGAACTCACTCTGTAGTCCAGGCTGGCCTTGAACTCACAGAGACCCGCCTGCCTCTGCTTCCCGAGTGCTGGGATTAAGGGCGTGCGCCACCACTGCCCTGTCTACCACATCCATTCGGCATCTTCCTCCTAAGCATGTTCTCCACCATTCTTTTCTTTCTTCCATCAGAAACACCTGTCTCCTTAAAGTCCACTCACACCAAGCAAGTCAAGTGGTTTTTAATAATGGAAAGAATTGTGATTTTCTTGCTTAAAAACCCTCCAAAGGTGTGCCACTGTATCTCAAATAGGATTCCCTGTCCCTCCAAAGCCTTAAAGATGGATGGCTCCTGCCTACCTCCATAACACCTTCTCATACCCTCTTCCTCATCATGCTCCAGTCACTCCGGCCTTTAGTGCCTTAACCAGTCTTTCTGTCTGCTCTGCCTGGAGTGACCTGCCCCCTAACCCCATTTCAGTCACCTGCTTAAGTATAACCTCCAAAAAAAAAAAGGCTCTTCCATATATCTCTGCATAAGTTTCCCTCTATTTCTTTCCCCACTTTACAGGCTTCCCAATATTTCATTTTTTTCTTTTTCTGTGATTACTGTTGGTTCCTCCCATCAACCATAAATTCATATCTTGCCAACTCAGTAAGTGGGAGTGCCTATCCCAAGAGATGTAGGAAAGGTATTTGTGTGAACAGATAACTGTCAGTTCAAAATATGCTTGTCTTTCTTTGCTGACTTGAGGTAAGCTAGCACAAAGTTCTTCAATTAATATTTTATTAGCAGCAACTGTGTGCCAACTATTATGAATGAAATCAGAGAGCTAGAGACATGAAGAACACTGTACATATCAACACGAATACTAGAGACACACAAGTTATTTTAAAAGTTGTGAGGAACTATGTGAAGGCTAGCACAGTGAGGGTCTAAATATAAAGTGTCCCCCCAAAAGGCTCATGTACTGTGTCTTGTTCCTCAGCTGGGGCTATCTGGGAGGTTCTGAACACTTCAGGAGGTAAGACCTACCTGAAGGCAGATGGCCAGGGGCAGGTCCTTGGGGGCATCTTGTCTCTGGCCCCTTCTTGCATCTGCCTCTTTCTCCCTCAGCTTCCTGTCTGGCATGGGATGACCAAGCTCCTCTATCACATGCTACCTCTGCCATGAAGGCAGTGCATGGGGCCAAGCAACCCCATTGTGAACCCCCTGAAACCAGTAACCATAGTTACTCTTTCGTCAGGGGTTGTCAGTTGTTCTCTCAGGGACTTGAATTACATCTACGTAAGTTACTGATACAAGCGTCGACAATCATCTCCCCTTGTCAAGTGGAGCTACCACTTCAGGCTGGCATGACAGAGGACATGGAGAGGCGTGAGGTGACAGATGCAGAGGCCTCTGACAGACACAGGGGAGGAGGAAGCTTGAGCTAAGGGGTCAGAGTAGAAAACTATGATGGAATGAGTTGGCTGGCATGAGAGTGGTCTCAAAACAAGACCGGCAGGACAGACTTGAAGAGCAGGTTGGCAAGTCTTAAATATCTGGCTAATCATGGGGCTTCTAAAGTTCTCAGCTGAGGTTTCTAAATTGTTAGGGTTTTACACACACAAACTTGACCACAACATGGGTAATGAGTTAAAAGTCTGTGTAAGTCTGTATGAAGATCAGGCAAAGGGGATGGAATGTATTAACCTGGTTAAAATAATGGTATTAAAAGTAAAAATTTAAAAAAAGAAAGGATATGAAAAAATTGGCCAATAAATAAATAAGCAGCCAATTGTAGTGTTCCTCAAAATATGGTGAAAACTTTTTTTTGGTTACAATCTTATGGAATAAGTTTCTTAAAGTATGATAAAAATTAACTATTTGAAAATAAAATATAAAATAAGACAACATAAAGTATAAACCCCATTTTTTAAACTACATTTAGTAGATAACCAATTTTCCTTTTAAATAGCTATACTAGTTTCTAATGCTTGATCTCAATTTCTCTACTTATCATCTGGACTAGCAAGTCTGCGGACATGTACCAGTCTAGAAGCCTCACTTTGAGCAGCAGTTTTGTTGTATAGAAGGGACACTGTCAGTGACTAAGACTGCTCATCAGGTGACTGTAACAACTATGCTGCCACCATGTTAGGGGGTCTGCATAGGGGGTTCTCTACAGAAGACACATGTATGTTTTAGATAAAGAGTCAGTGTGTTAGTGAGAAAACTCTAGATAAAAGAAGACATTTTTTTATTTTCCTTATTTTATTTAACTATCCTATTGCTAAGAAGAGAAAAAAGGTACCATGAAATTTGAAGAAGCCTTAATTTTACACAAAACAATGTCAGGCAGGGGTTAAAACAATTTAAATATTTTATACTATGTGATTACCCAATATAATTTGCAATCAACTATAATAATGATAGAGACTCTCTGGCCCTGCATACTAACATAAATTATTTTCTTTATGACAGTCGCATCCACATGTAACTCCATTGTTTTGAGAAATATCCTTGATGGTGGACCCAGAGTGATTTAATTGTCCTTATGTTCCTCAAATCTGTGACATAAATCTTGGGTCACCAGCTGTAGACAAAGACCTCTTGTGTTTGGCTTGACACTAGAGATTGATGAGGCTTGACTAGACAAGTAGAAACCCATCTTCTTGGTAATGAGGAGGAGCAGTGCTCCCAATGGGGATGAGACAGTGAAATCAGAGGCTTGACAAATGGTAAACTCAAGGCAAGTAAGTGACAGCATTATTGCCAAATATTAGATTATTCAAAAAGAAGAGGGGGGAGAGGCCTAGAACAAAAGAAGCCAAAGATGCTTGCAATTATCACAGCAAATGGCAGACATGACTTTTGATAGCGTAGTGCCTTATTTAATCATGACACACTAGTTAAAGGTATCTGATGCCTTGTATAACCTTGCACAAACATAAAAGCATCAAAGAAATAAATATTAGTGTTGACACTTGTGAAGGTAGTAACACTTATGATGACATCTTTATCAAGTACATTTTCTTCATTTACCTTCAAACAAACAAAAAATTAAATACAAAACTTCAGGTAGAACTCAGGTAAACTTATCAGGACCTAACAAGGAAAGTTTTAAACAGAATAATCATTGCTGATAAATACATAACTCACAATGTCTATTTTGACTTACCCAAATGGATCACCAACCACAAGAAACGCAACATCGCTGACATCAGCATCCTTCAAAATATTATCTGCTTCTTGTTCCACTTCTTCCCTGTCAGCAAGAATCAATTTTCTTCCATAAAACTCTTCCTGGAGATTTAAGTAGGATATCGAAATATCAAAATGAGAGATAGCAGGTGAGTCTTCAACACACACAGACACTGAAGAACAACCTTTGTCTAGAACTAGGTGCAAATCTTGGCAACCATCCAAACACAGATCATTCAGTATACCTCCTCAGTGAGCCAGAACTCTATATCATGATGCAATTAAACTCTGTCTTTGGGGCTATCTTCATATCCCTAGAGAAAGCAGACCTCTTAACATCTGAGGCCTCTAAATGTGTGTCTAATAGACCAGGAAGAACAACACCAAAGGGTGAACAGAGACTATGTATTCATGAGCCCTATTCCTGAAACATGAAAATATGGAATACATTAACGATAATGATACGTGGTAGTGCAGATGTTTCACCCGATTTCTATAGGAGCATTTGTGGTATGCTGACTAAAATAAAAGACCACGTCAATAGGAAATGACAGAAAATTATGATTTAGCTGTTCACAAAAAAATGAACAGTCCTACATAATTACAGGAAAAGAAATGAATTTAAATACACAGGACATTTCCATCCAAACTACATTGTCAATTAATCTCCTGAAGGTCAGTTCTAGAGAAGAAACCCAGAAGAGTGAGCCAGTGAACTAGTGGTTACATGATACTGGTTAATGATAGTATACAAGATCATGAATCTTATAGCTGAGTTTCTGTGCAATTCAAAAATGGAAGAGGATGAATAAAATTTATTCCTTCATATTGAGAAGTCTGAGTTATTAAAAGTTACAGGGACTGCTAGAGTAGAAGCAGTGGTACCCAGTATTTCAAACAAGTAAGTACTTGAACAAACAATTAAGCATCCAAAAGCAAATGCTACAATTCCAAATGCGGTAAGTATTCCCTAATACTTAGCTCTCAATAACTCTGCTTACACAGATTTTAAAAATGTATTCTTTATTTTCACTTTTACTTTGTGCCTTTTTCTTATTCGTTAATCTTTATATGTTTAACTTTGATTTTAGGAACCAGAAAACTTACAGTCACAGGTCAATTACACCTACAGATCTAAGAGAACACATATGGTAACTAGACACAGCAAAAACTGGTCTTTACTGAACTAACGTTTCCCAAAAACGACCAAGAAGCCACATGCCACCAGTGTCGTGCTAACGGTTATCCTATCTCCTACGTGTGGAGGTCAGATGGCAACTGGAAGGAGCTGGCTCTCTCTTTTTACCATGTAGGTTCCAGGGTCAGATTTATATTATAGGTTTCCAGAGTGCTGGTTTAGATAAAACCTCTTTAGCTATTTCTAGACATATTATATTTTCTTCCTTCCACTACTTTTATAAATTACTACTGAAGCCTTTCATTAAGTTTTCTTAAGTATAATACAGACAGAACCATGAACCACTCACTTGTAGCAAAGACTACATTGCTTATACATCTTTATATAATACACAATTCAACCAATAAGTATGTAAGAGTTAATGTATCAAGAGAAATTGCCTAGAGGAAGCTTAAGTTGCATATGCCCAAACTAATACTCTTTCCCAAATTGGCTGTCTCTGTATTTCCTTTGGAGACTATATTACTGCTACTACCATCTGGCAGTTTGAAAACAACAGTGATTAATGGAAGAACAGGCAAACTTTGGAATTTCTTCAGCAACACTTGTATGTGCCTTTTATAAAATCTTGACTGGTTGATTATTAGTAAGTAGGAAGCATATGTTCATTACAGAAAATGAAATTATCTATTTGATCACTGTGATATAATTATCTATAGTTGAAACCAGACTTTATATAGTTATATAGGTAATAGTCAACAATTTCTAAAAATCAGTTTGTTTTAACAAGAAAACATAAAACTGAAGTGGGGAAAAGAAGGACAGAAGAATGTGATCGAAGAGAAAGAGGCTCTACAGTTTTTCTGGAAATACAAGGCATGAACTTACAAATGACTGACTTAAGGTAGATGGTATCCTGGGGCAAGCGCTCAGGGAAGAATAGGAACTAAGAGCCTGGAGAAGGACAGGAAGAGAATACTAAAAGAACTTTGAAATAGGGTAGGATCTGGGCCAAGCCACTTTGCTCAATGGAACTTGTCTGTTAGTGACTCCTGAAGTCATTCTTGCGTAGTTATTACCCACTGCTAAAACTGCAGAGACAGTATGAAAGTCTGGAGCAGCAGTCCTCAACCCAGAGCTGCTTATACTTTGTACCCTGCCTGTGTCACTATCTGGATGACACTGGACAACTTTTGGGATGTCTGTATGCCTATAAAACGTGAACAATAACTACAGAGCACTGGGTATTGCAGCTCTGTGGTAGAGAGCTTGTGGAACATGTGAGAGACACTGGGTTCAATTCTTGGCACTGTAAAGAAAATAAACAGGAAGAAGCAAAATAAATGTCCTATGATTATTAACACTTATTACTATGAAATAACAGGTATTCTAGCACCTTACAAAATACACATTAATATACTCACAAGTAAGGTCAGACCAAAGCCCTGGTTATCACTAAAATAACTACAAATATGTTTTGGGGGACAACAAAAAAAAATCTTGAAAATTAATACTTTACTAGCACTTAGAATTTATTTACAAAGCATTTTCACATACACCTTAATAAAACACCACTTACCTTCCAATTGGTTATTTCTCTTTGACAAATGAAGACAGAAGTTTGGAAATGTATCCACTAACAACTAAAATATCTGAGAACCTTGTCCTGGGCACTGTTTTAAGAGCCTAGAAGGCAGCCACTTCTGAGCTCAATTCACACAGCAAGAAATTAAAAGTAAAGGAATTGTTCAAGGACATGGCACAAGGCAAAAACAAGCTATATCCCATTTTTCCTCTAAAGCTATTGTCCAATACCTTATTCTATTAACCTGTTTATTCTCTCAGATGGTTTTAAACTCATTATGGCTTTTGATTACTGAGGGAGACACAGTTCTGTTATCTTGAAGTAAGAGTAAAAACCAGCAAGTGTGGCCAGCAAGTCAAAGCTGGGCATTAGACACTGTTTTTATTACAATGCATGGCCAATTCAAGAACAAGCCTTAATTTAGTCTTCAAAATTTTAAAGTAACTCTGCAACCTTCGGAATTCTCTGGTGAATCCGAGAGGAATGATCAGAAATTCTGTGGCTCACACTTTTATTTAGAAGACTTGACAATTTAAAAAAATCCTTCCCTTCTTCCCACAACACACCCATCAGTCCTTTATCTCAATATATGTTCCACTTTGAGTTTGACAATCAACCAGAAACTGACCCTTCTGCTCATATTTATTATTTACATAGTTAGCCTTAATGAGAGCCTGTTCAAGGTATATAATACACTAATAAATCCTCTGGATACTTAGTCTCGGGCTTACACATGTGGGAATGCCAGCCTTCCTGGGAGACTATAAGTAAGATCTCTTTGGATATGTTGCAGACAGAAAGGCTATCACCACCATTCCCAGTGGAAATACTTCAAAGGAGGAAGCTTTCAGATTGCTTGCTGACTGTATAACCAACTCATTAAGGCTGTGGCAGCACCTCATTAGCACTCAACTCAGAAAGGATTTCTTGGCTAGCTCATGAAATAACAGATTCTGATAACTATCCCCAAGAGTGTAAAATAACTTTCCTTTTTTTTATTTACTGGAGAAAGCCACACAAAATTAGACTTGTAAAGCAGGACAAACCACCGTTTCATTTCCCAAGTCACTGTGTTAGTGTATGAGTGCGTTTTTGTTCTCTCAAACCCAGGGTGTGTGTTTTAAAGGGTCCAAAAAAGCAGACGCTTAGACTCTGTGCAGTCTAGTGTACGAGAATCAGATGCTAGCTAGTTTTCTTCCCCAGAGGCCAGGGGGCTTTAATCACGTACCAGGGCTTCCTTCCCTACAGTCAAGACTGAGGTGTAGGCTTCCAGATACACTCGACTGCAGCGCCTCACAACTTCCAGGCCCTTGACTGTGATGTCCTTGGCATCTCCCAGGCCCAAGCCGATCAGGTAAAGCATTTCGAACTCCAGGGACAGGGAGACTGCAGGGCGGAGGGAACAACAAAAAAAAAAACGTCAGCTAACACCGGGGGTCTAAAGTCTAGGGAGGAAGATAAAAATCAACGCTGCCCCAGGGGCACGGCACCGCACCGCACGTGACGTCTGAGACCCTGCTATCATGCATACTCTTAGAAACGACTGGAATGACTGTTTTACGTAAAGCTGAATCCAGTTACCCGCTTAGAGACCCGTCGGTGCTTCGCTAACGCCCCTCAAAGCCTCACGGCAGCGAGTCTACAATTTTGCAGATCCCAAACCACGCGCCCAGCAGAGACAGACCTTCCGGGTCTCACCTACGGTGCCGTAAAGCGCAGGGCCCTTTACAGCACTTTACGACTGGCAGGAAGGGAGGAGGCGGGCCGCTCCCGGGAGCTGTCCATAGCTTCCCGCCAAGGCTGGGACTGACCCGTGAACTCTGGGGCAGGGGTCAAAGGCCAGGAAGGCGCCCAGCTGTGCGTCTGGAAAGGAACCAGCGAGCCCACGCTCCGCTCCGCTCCCGGCGAGCCGGGGCTCAAACATCCCCGTGGGCGTTCTGGCCGAAGGCAGTAGTTCCCGAAAGCCCCGGGGACGCCCGGACGCGGGGACGCGGGGACAACCGGAGGGACTTCCCTAAGTGACCCCGCGTTGGCTCGGATTCGAATCCCGGCTCTGCTGCAGATCTGCTGTAGTTTATCCAGCGGTCACCCTGGTGAGGCGACAGGTTGACAAGCCCTGCCGAGTGTGGTCGTGAGTTCCCACGGGGGAAAGGCAGTGACTCCTTCTAGAGGTTTGTCCCAGCATCTGATGCCGGAATGCCCCCAGGGATCTGCTTTAGTCATCCGCAATCGAGAATGACCTTTGAAGAGTGCTCAAGGGATGACTAAGTACAAGTGTGATGACATACGCGGATGAAAAATGTCAGAACGAAGCCCGTTACTTAGTATGCTATCAAAAGGGTGATTTAAAAAAAAAAAAAAAAAAGTAATGCCGTGGCGGAGGGGTGGTGGTGTGCATAACAGAAAAAAAAGAAAGTGCTTCAGACCTCTCAGCGACTGTTGCTGAGATTCTTATAAAGGGACTGGTTAGTTACGCGCAGTTCCACTAAGGGGAAAGTGTGGACTGAAGACGCTCTTAAGTTCACTGGTAACATCATCCAAGCTGGAAAGACAGTTTCATTGCTTGTCTTGGTACACAGTGCTGGCTATTCAGATATCTCTGGATGGCTTCAGTGCAATGTGCCCTCTTGCCTAGCCCTGCTTCCCTAAGCCTGGCCTTTTTCCTCCAAGGTTTGTCTGACCTCTGCACTTCTCATCCTGTAAGCCCTTCGAAGCTGGTTCTCTCTGTTCCCACTACATTGATTTATTCTGTGCACCTTATTAAAACACACACACACACACACACACACACACGCACGCACGCACGCACGCACGCGCCTCTTAAAATATCATGGTTGTAAATGGAATGACCTAAAATTAGAAGAAAACACAGGGGGTAAAAAAATCTGTGACCTGTCTAGGCAAAGATTTCTTAGATATGACATCAAAGACATGGTAAAGAGAGAGAGAAAAAAAAACTTGTGCTTTAATAAAATAAAAGCTCCCCTCAAAGGACGAAAGTCATACACCAAGAGAAAAGTGTTTGCACACCAGAAATCCAAGAAAGGACTTATGCAAAACGAAACAATCAAACAAAAAACACTCAAAATGCAAAAAGCATGGCCAGCAAGACAGCTCAGCTAGTAAAGGAAGCTGTTCCACATGTCTGACAGCCTGAGTTTGATCCCTGGAACCCAATTAAGGGTGGAAGAAAAGCAGCTCTACAGTTATCCCCTGCCCTCTGAAGGCCTGTACTGTGCGCACCTCCCTCCCCCCACATACACATACAACCTAAACTAAAGATGAATTAAAATGCAATGAATTGTTAAATGCAATAAAAAAAAAGCTCAACATGAAAAAATGGGCAAAAGATTTTTGAATGACACCAAATAAGATATGCCAATATCGGATAAGCATTTTAAAATGTTTCTAAACATACTTAGACACTGGGGACATACTTTGGAAAATTCTTTTTAGATTTCTTAGAAATTCTTATTTTTATGTATGAATGTTAGTTGCCTGCGTGTATGTATGTGTACCATGTATGTTCCTGGTGCCCATGAAGGTCAGAAGAGGATGTCAATCCCTGAAACTGGCATTATAGATGGTTAAAAGCCACCATGTTAATGCTGGGAATCAAACCCCAGATAACCCAGAAACCTATCTAGTTCACTACATCCAGAGCCGAATGTATCATCTTCTCCACCTGCTTCGTGTTTTTCTCTGTATTATGTACGTTGGTTGGGATAAGGTTGACATTCACCCAAGCCAGATATTAGTCACCCCCACATGCTGTGCCATGTCTGGTCCTTCTCAGAAACCATAATTACTACCACTGTGGTGGTTCAGGTCTTCATTCCGTTACTCTGTTATCTAGCCATCTTGTCCCCTTCAAATTTATCCTCATAGGAACCAGGGCGTTCTAGTAAAGATACAACCTAAAAATGGCATCCCCTTTCTAAAAATCTTTGGAAAGCCAAGATAAATCCCATGCTTCTTTACATATCCCCAAGATTATCTATGGGATGTTCAGTGCCTGCCTCCCTAGTGTTACATGCTGTGTACCATGAGCTTTCTTCAGTGATACTGGCCCACCTGTAGTTCTATGTCCAAGCCATGTGCACTTTGCTGTCACCTCAGCATGGAATCCTGTCTTCTGTCTTCAGCCTAGATCACCGCTAGTCATCCTCTACACTTAGACACAATGGTGTCTCCTCCATTACAACACTGTGTCTATAATGAGTTAAGTTTGTTTAAAATTGTCTGCCTGTATAGGCCCCATGCCCAAGCAGTAGATGGCCAACACAAAACAAACTCAATGGTGTATTTGTAGATATGTGTCTCAAATTGCTCTGCTTGGGCATTTTTTTTTTTTTATCTTACTAGTCTTTTTACTGTATATAATAGTTTCTAGTTTTGTGTTATTATGGGTTTTGTTTTTGTGTCTGTGGGTTTCTTGTGCTTTTTCACTTTTGAAATTCTGTTTTGTTTGTTTTTTTATTGGCCTGTTTGTTTTCTAAGGAAAGAAAGAAGGCATGGGTGGGGGGTTGGCAGGAAGGAGCTGGGAGGAGCTGGGAGAGGGGAAACCATAATCAGAATGTATTGAATGAATTTTCAGTGAAAAAAATAAATAAATAAAATTGCCTTCCTGTATTTCTCCTTCATTAAAATAATTTAATGAAGTCAGTGTCTTGTCCTGCTCATATCCTCTTCTGTAGGCTTAGCATTGTGCATGCCATAGTAGGTTCACAGTAAGTGTGTATTTATAGGTCATGGATCCATTAGTAGTCAAGAAATTTCTTTCAGTTACACTTCCTATTTTATACAGTGCAGGTGTGTGATATATTCAAGATGACTGCCAGAAAGTCACTGGTAGAACTTCAGACATGAGCATGTCTTGTTCATACTTTTCAGGAAGCTATTTGTGTTGAAAGGCTTATGATACATATCATACAGACTTCATATGCACATGGTGGAATAGGTCAGCAAAATTCTGGTCATTTTTTAATGTCCTGGTCATTTTTTAATGACTTCTTAGATTTTATTGAATACTTTTTTGTTGATTCATAATAAGTGAATATTGCCAAAAAAGAGTAGTTTCCTGGGGGTCAAAAAGAAGAAAAGTTGTGGCAGTCTTTCCCCTCTTCAACTTAACAAATAGAAGTGGCAAACCTTGCCTAGTCTGTTTTTACAGGACCATTCTGTGGTGGTTGCCTGTTTCTCCCTCACTGTTACAAACAGCTTTCAAATAGGATTGCTTCTCACTCCCTGCCCCCCAATTTATTAGGGAACCCTATAAACTTAGGAAAGTTGAAACAATTTTACAGTGAGCCTCCACAGCTTGCTAGATTTGCAGCTCTTAGGAGGTCACTGCGTTTGCTTCATAATACATTTCCCCATCTAGCTGGACATCAGCCGATCTTCCTTTTTGATACATTTCCAAGGGTCTATCATTTCTTCCCCCTAATCCAAGCTGAGCTTTGAATATTTTCCATTAAGACAGCTACTTCTTCTTAGCATATGCTGCTGTACCATTCTAACAATGATGACAGTAGTTAGAATGCAGACAAATTTCATCATTAGAGCAAACTGCAAGTCTTGTGCAACAGAAAGAGTGCAATGGTTACAGGGAATGATAATTCCAGGACTGAAGGAAGATGGGAGAAGGTCCTTTTTTAACTTAGTGACAAGGAGGAAGCCTGAGGAGTTTTCTACTTCATGTTCCTTCTTTCAGGAAAATAGCAAATCCTTCCTGAGGGTGAACGTTTCTCTATTTTATTTTTGAGATACCATTAAGATGTTTTTATACCCGTTGTCAGTAACTCAGCTTTAGTGTCTTCCCCGAGAGGAACTCTTCCCCATCTTCTGGTGGTAGCCACAAAATGCAGCCTGCAGATGCACACTGTCACAGCAAGTTATTCCTTGTGGCTTTTCCACTCCACTGTCATCAACATCATAGGCTACTTTTATTTTAAAGCAATAACATAGCTGAGATGCGTCATTACATCATGGACAAATTGTAATTACCGTACAGCTAAAAGAAGCCATCCTTCAGTTTTCCTATTCGAGCTTGTTTCCCTGTTGAAAAGAACCCGTCAGGGGACTGACTAAACTCCATCTGACCTTATTGTGAATAGAGAATATTATTTTACTCTGACGCTGGCCTTTTAACCTACATGCTCCCACAGATTGCCTTTGTTAGAGGAGATCTTCATTAATATTCGGAGAGTCTGGAGACCTTGAATTGATTTATCGTCACTATTTTCCTACAAATAGGTGGTAATTAAAGATAACACTCCTCTAGAGGAGACTATATTTACTAAGCTTTAAAAAAAAGACTTGCTGTTCCTTTATTGTGTATTGATTTACTTAGGGAAAGAATACTTTTTATTTGCCCAGTGACCTTATGTATTCCTTATATGGTCATATAAAGTACACATGTAGAAGAAAGAAAAGAGCAAATCTGGAGTTATTTTCTGTGAAATATAAGGAAAATGTTATTTTCAGTAATCTTGGCTCAATAGATTGAGAGTAACCAGGAGAAAGGAGTCACCTAAAGTCCTATGTTTTTATGTAAAGTATATGTATATACATGGTGCACACACATACAACACGGGCAGAACACTCATACACATAAAAATAAAACAAATGTTTAAAAGCAAAGAAAAATATAACAATAACACAATCATGGATTTTGAGTGAAAGAGAGGGTATTCCCTACAAAATCATGGCTAATTTATATGCATTTAATGCAAGCAGACACTACATCGTTTTAAAGCACAAAGCCAAATTATCCGTCCCTGCTTATTATTTTTTTAGCATAGATTTTTGAAGGAACTACCAACTATCAAATGACTTAGAAATAAATAGCTAATACACACACAGGTAGAGAGAGGGGAGTGGGGAAGAGGAACATCTCTGGAAGCCACCATGTGGTCATGGTGTTTTCTCACAGCAATAGAAAAGTCACTAAGACAGAAGTTGGTACTAGGGAGTAAGTAGCCTGTTGCTGTAATAGTCCTGACCATGCTGGTTTGGGAAGGAGTTTGGAAGACTGGACTAAGGAAGTGGTTGAATACTTTAAGTGGGACTTAATAGACCATCCTGTTAGGAGATTGGAAGACAGTAGTGATGAGAGCAATGTGGACTGTGGACACACTCAGCTTAAGAGGTTTCAGAGCAGAGATATATTAGCAACTGGACTATAGACCAATCTTGTAATATTTTGGCAAAGACTGTGCTTGCTCTTTGCCCCTCTCCTAAGAGTCTGTCTGATGCTATATTGGAGAGTTTGGAGCTAATTTCATCGGCAGAGGAGATTTTAAGGCAGCATTGACTTTGGCT